GACAGGTATTTCAAAGAAAAAGATTTACTGAACGAAATCGATTAAAATTGTTGAATTTTTTACTTTAGGTTTTCGTCATATGCGATTGCGATCGAAGGACAATGGTCTAACTGATTCAACTCTGTTCGTACATGTTGAAATTGAAGGCTATGAAGAGGAGGATGATTGTGCAACGCGTCTATAGAAAAAAAAACCATTATGACCTCATTCAAATCATACTACATTGGATTGCAATATCATTTTTAATCAGTTCATCCATAATATTTATTTAACGTTTACTTCTAATGCACTTTTTTAATGAAATTCTTTAAAAATAAAATAGTGAGTACAGGTGTGAATGGAAGCACCACGAGTTCCTTTCCTTATAGACTGGTTTCCATCAGGACCATCGTTTCTTTAAACACAATAATGATTAAAAATGAATGATGTAATTTAGTTCGTTACATTGTCTAGTAAAGTAACGATGAATCAATTCAGACAATGTATTCCTTCTAATTCAATTTGAGAGGTGTAGAGGTCACCTCCATATCAGGAAGAAAACTATTCTATTGATTTGCTTGCTTTTTCCGTTAGTTGTATCGATGAGTCCCCTAAAGTAGAGGCAAATAAGGAAAAATATCATTTAATGATGTTATCATTTACTTTAATCTATCCATTTTCTACGAGGGTTCAACAACTTTTCGATCGCTGACAAAAATAAATATTTTCAGCGAAAATCAAATGCTCAGCGCAAAAATCAGACTAAACGGACATCTTATCCTACTAAAACATGAATTTCCATTGGAACAATGTCGTCTTTAATAGGGAAAATCATGTGCGATTTATCAAAACCTGATAAGTAATTTAAGAAAAATGCCTTGTATCATCCTAGTTTCATAGTGAATAGGAATAATCTTTGAATCATTTTTCTATGAGAGAAAAAAATCAGTTAAAGTTTACTTATATACATACATTCTCAGAGGCAAAATAAAAACCCCTAGAAAAAATCGTAGGAACCATTTTTCTGCTGATCTCGTGTACTTCTCAGCTGCATTCATGCATTTCCCGCTAGGTTTTCATTTTTTCAAATGGAATGTATGTGTCTATGTGTTTATTGATTCATTCATTCATCTTTAGATCGATATGCATCATAATTAGGTATACTATTCAGGTAATGCTGTTATATTTTTCTTGATATAGAAGATCTTATTTTTGACCTGAACAACAACTTTTCGCTGAAAACAATAATTTTTTTCTAGCGATTAGATTGTTGTCCACTGCTGTTTTCTACATATCTAGCAAGAAGATTCAATTTTTAAATTATTCTTCAGAGTGTGGGCGTTGATGATGAGAGGATATGCACAGGGACACGCTTCTGCATCCCAGCTGAATTATATGCTGTGTATTTTAGGTGTAGATGTGGCCGTCATAGTGTTAATAAAGGACCCCCCCCCCCATCCCAATTACTCACACGCGTCTCAAGATTATCGTCTTTTGTTCAAAACTAGTAAGCATGCCGAGCAACAGCGGTCTTACTTCTCAAGACAGCAAAATTTTAAACCTGCAAAAAGTATCATGTGTCCTCTCACAATATATCTTATTCTGAGCGTTATCCGAATTTGAACAGCAACAGAATTTTAAAACCTACCTTTCATTGCACATTTATCCGTATTTGAACAAAATTATGTCCTGCTACAGTCATTTAACTCAAACTAACCATAGATCCATGAATATACGCCGTCTTCTATAAGTCACTCTTCATTAGTTTAACTATTCTTATCGAGTTTAGCATCCTCGACTAATTGAGTTGCCTAATTCGAGTTCGAATATAAATGACGCTCGATGATCTTAATGTGAATCCGTAAAAAGATGAAAAAAGAAGAGACAGCGCTATTATGTTAAGACGAGGGTGAGAGATGTGAATGTAGATCTTCTCTTTATATATAAACCCACATCACACTTGCAATCCATACCCCTACATCATCCTTAGCGGTCAATAGTCAGTAGTCAGAGTGTGGGTGGGTGGGTGGGTGTGAGTGTGTGAGTGTATAAACGCTTTACACAGCCACACACCCACACCCACACCCCACCCACACCCACACCCACACCCTACCCACACCCACATCCACCCTGCTCAAAATGGTACAGATTTAATCGTTAGTGGTGGCGGATTTTGGAAGACTCGAGGTTTTCAAAGCAGACACGGTGCAGCAGCTATTTTATCTTGCAACACAGTACCAAAAGTGTTAAATTTAGAAATATGTAATAAAACATGTAATATTTGTATGGGTGAGTCTTTTTTTTCTGTCTTGATTATATTCTTGCTTTTTAGGTGCACTTTCTATTAAGAAATTTGATCCAGCTAAATATGATAGTATTATTAAATCACATCAATGTGAAAAAAATTACGACAAAAGCTCCGGTACAATGGAATCTGCTGCTATTCTCAAGATGTTCAAACGATCAGTTTCAAAGTATGGAGTTTATTATACGAAGTACGTTGGTGATGGTGATTCTAAAACTTTTCCAGTTCTTTCCAAAATTGTACCATATCCAGGTATAATATATATTTATTTTGAAATATTTCGATTCATAATGCAAATATTTTTTTTCTCTATTTAGGAAAAGTTATCGAAAAAATCGAAGACTTGAATCATTTTAGTAAAAGAATGAAACGAGGATTAGAAACAATCAAACGTGAGCATGGACGAAAAAAATTATCTGATGGTAAAACAATTGGTGGTAAGAATCGTCTTTCAGGTAGATGTTGCTCATGCAGAAAGTTTAATAATAAAATGAATCGAAAATTTGAATTTTTTTTTCTAATTTTAGGTCGTAATATAATTCGATTACAAATGACATTTGCCTCCACCATTCGAAAATGCAAGCATGATCTGAATTTATTATTTGAAAGATCTTGGGCAATATTTTGGCATAAATATTCGACCAATAATGATCCTCATCATGACTATTGCAGTATCGATTGGTGTGGCTATTTGAAATCTGTACGTGATGGCACTTCTTATGATCACACATCACATGCTATGCCTCGTCCTGTACTTGATGCAATTAAGCCTGTTTTCGAAAGTCTTTGTTCTAGGGAAAGCCTTGCACGGGTGGTGAATGCTTCAAGTCAGAATGCGAATGAAAGTTTTCATTCGCTTGTCTGGCTTATGTCACCAAAACACAAGGCTTCATCTGGAACAACTTTCGAAATTGCATGTTGTCTCGCAATAATAATATTTAATGAAGGGTATTTTGCAATAGGTAAGATAAACAAAAATTTCAAATTATTCATACTTCTTTTCATTAACACTTATTTTTTTTATTATGATAGGAGATGTTTTCAATGCCATGTGTGGTTATCGAGGTTATTATACTGATCAAGCAATGATACATTTCGATAATAGTCCACTGCACACAGAATCAAAAGAAAACAACAGAAAAAAAACTGGTCACGTGTTGCTTCAAAATAATGGAAAAGAAGAGGACAGTGGGATAATTGATGACATTGATCAAACAAATGATGACGATGATGATGGAGATCCTACAGACAAAGCAACATCTGAAGATCATGATGAAACAAGTGACAGCGATGAACAAATCACTGATAATGATCATCGGACTTCCAGTGATGATGAATCATTAGATGATGATGATTACGGTTATTATAATTCAAAAGACAAAAGACGATGGGTAGAAGAAGAATAACTGTTCGTAGTTTTTTTTTCATGTAAATTTTTTTATATTTAAAGTTCTTTAATAAAGCTTTCTACATGTGTATCTCTTAAATTGTTTCTTATGTTAAGCTAAAAGAGAAATGATTTTCTTATAAAAACTATTAAAATATTTTTGAAATCTTTCAAAATATTTATTTTACCAAAAATTCAGATTTTTTTTTAAAAATCGTATTTTTCGTGTAGTCAATTACAGAAATCATCAAAATTTTCTATAAAAAAAGGGTTTTTGGAAAAAACCCTATATCAATTCTGAAAGAGCGAATCACGGGCTATCTTCCTATGAACTTATCTCAATTTCGAATTTTTTCTCGAAAATTGACTTTTTTTGAGTGGGGGGGGGGGGCCTAAGTAAAAAAGTTCCAGAAGTAATCGATTGGCCATCAAACAGTCCCGACATTGATACAGGGGAGAAGTTGAGGTCGATAATCAAACGTCGTGTCGACAAACGAAAACCAGCAAATCTTCAACAATTGGACAAGTTTCTGCACGAAGAATGGAACAAAACCGATCTAGTCACTCTAAATCATTTGATTAATTCCATGAAATATCGATGTTTAGTTCTGATTTAATCGAAAGGCGAAAGAATCAATTATTAACTGTAATATTTTTGTACCTTGCACTATACCTTATCTTTGTATATATTTAGTTTTCATATTCATCATGTATACTCTTATTACAATTTGAAATACTGAAGATAAAAGCTTGCGCACCTTACTGTATAAGTTTATATATAAAACACAGTTAGTCTTACAAAATAGATAAAATATCATTATAAAAAAAATTGTAAATAAAAAGAATTCTAAACGGATTAATAAGCCCCATCAAATTGTTCTGGTTGGTTTTTTTCTTCATATAAAATTATAAATAAATCTAATTTAGCATTTGACAACCAGTGATGGATCATTGGCCAATGTTCGTCCTTCTACAACGGTAGATGCTGCTAATTGATTATGTATTGATGTATAACGTGTTGGGTTTTGTCGAATATGTTGTTTAGCACGTTCCAAACTAAAATTATTAAAAAAATTGAAATTGATTTGAACTAACTGAAAAATGATTGACATCAATTTTTCTATTTCAATGTATAACGGTCGCATGGCCCAACGGTTAAGGCGCCCGCCTACGGAGCGGGAGATTCCAGGTTCGAATCCTGGTGTGATCGGTTTATTTTTTTTCTCTTTCTTTTCTTGCTTCAATATATAATCAAGGACTCATTTATTTTTGTTTTATGTATCTAGATAATCATGTCTTCTAAAGTGATAAATTGTCATATAAAATAAATTCTGTTTGCAATTTTAAGAATATTTTTTTGTTCTGATTCGATTATAATGCACTAATGCGTGTTTTTCCAAACGATAGAAAGCGTTTCTTTGTTCAAAAATTTATTCAAATTATTTTATCTTACGTTAAAATTAATTTACAATTCTTTTTAGTAATTTGTTTCTGCTATGGTCCGGAAACAAGCAAACCAATATTTGGTGTTTCATCAGAAGGTAGATTTCGAACCAAAAGTGACAAGAATGTATTAATTTCATCTACTTTTCTTTGACTACAGGTATTGATTTACTTGATCGTCTTTTATCTTTTGATCCTCGTCAACGTTCAACGGCAGAGGAAGCACTGAGTAAATAATCACAGGAAAACCACGTGGTATTTTCGTTTGTTTGAACATCACATTTATATTTTAGCACATCCGTTTCTGGATCATTATCATTCTCCAGAAGAACCCATTGCAGAACGTATAAATAACATGTATCTAGACATAGAATGTGGTGTACAACAATGGAAACGCAAGTTATTCGAAAAGAAAACTTTTTTTTATTCATCTTTTTCTTTGGTCGGCTAAAATGAATTGAATAACAAAGAAAATATAGGAAAAAGAGGAAAACAGTAGATATTGTAGTAGTGGGGTGTTGGCGTGGGTGTCGTTGAACAGAAAACCCACACCCACACCTACACACGCATGTTCCAAGAAAATATTGGAGAATTAATTTCTATAAATACATTGTTTTCAACAAGTATGTCGTCTGATGTGGCATGTGAGTTTGCCGGCATAGGTCTGGATCATACGTGTTTTGAATTGGTATTGTTAGAAATATTAATCGACTCAACTATACCCACGAGGCCATTTGCCGATGTGAAAGATTTCAGTTTTATAAAAACTGAAAATGAAATACTGATGTTTCCTGGAACAAAATTTCACGCTGACGAAGTCGATAAATACACGGATACATTATGGTATGTAAAATTAACATTGGCTACTCATATAGATGAAAAGTTTACGGTAGCCAATGAATTTTTTAAATAAGAAATTGCGATACATTCAACACTGCTTACTGTTGGAGTTCCTTTAATGAATATGGATGAAGTTGATAAAGCCGAACAGTACTATAGACTCCTATTAAAAGAGCTACCTGGGACACATCCCGAAATTGGATCAGTTTATAATAATATTGACATTTGCTAACACAAAAAATGTGACTTAAAAAGAGCATTGAAAAACTACCAACAAGCATTTGCCATTTATTCAAAGACACCATCTGTAAATGATTTGAGTTATGCTTATACGTACACTAATATAGGACCTTGCTATTTTAAAATGCGAGATTGTCAACAAGCGATGAATAATTATGAAATGGCATTATCTATCAGAGCGAAGTATTATCCATTGCCAGCCTCATCATGCGCTTCACTTTTTGTCAACATTGGTGAAGTTTTGCGTTGCGTAGACGATATTGATAACGCTCTTAAATTTTACCAAAGATCGCTTCAAGCATGGTCACCAACAGCATCAGCTTATCATCCATATACAGCAACTTTTTACAATAATATGGGCTTGGCTTGCGAAGCAAACGAAAATTATGAATTCGCACTTCAAAATTATCAGAAGGCACTTGATCTTCAACCGAAATTTCTATCACTTACACATTCTGATTTAGCAATCACATTTAACAATATAGGCACACACTATTATCGTAAAAAAAACTATAAAGAAACCTTAGATTGCTTCATCAAGGTGCTAAATATTCAACTCAATAGTCTGAATTCTCACCATCCCGAAACATCGGCAACCTACAGTAACATAGGTTGTATAAATATTAACGAGAAAAATAATGAAGAAGCGTTGAAAAATCTAGAACGTGCTCCAAGGGGGGAAAAGCGTACTTCTGTACTTCTTGGTACTTCTGTACTTCAGAAGTATGGAAGTACGCTTTTTTTTACCCTTGATGTGCTCTCGAAATTCAATTTAAATCTCATCATCCATCAACTTTTATTACCTATCATAGTATTGATAGTATCATATCTATGATAAAATGAAAAATTACCCACCAGCTATTATTAATTACGAAAAATCGATAGAATTTTGCTTAACGGCTCAGAATATAAAGTATTCACAACTTTTAACAACATATAATCAAATAGAAGATGTTCACAAACAAGAAAATAATATTCCCTAGTCGAATATCTTGTACCAAGATCTGGCTACAGATATTGGGCACAGATGTGTAAGATCTTAGGTACGAATCTATAAGATCTTGGATACACACTAAGATAAAACGTGTTGCATGCGTCATTATTTGCGACACAATGTATGACGCATTCTGAATGCATGGTGCGAACCTATCATACAGCGCATTTTTTATTTTTTTTTTGTAAAAGCATGTTATGATATTTTTGCAATCTATTTTTATTTCACGCGTCAACTGTTCAAGCAAGAGTTTTCTTGAGCAGAACAAAACATCTGAAAATATTATCCGGCATTCCGTGAATAATTCTAATGCAAAAAATTTCTAATTAATTATCTTAAAAAACGACCATAACTAGGGGTGTCAGCGTTCCCTTTCCTCCGGGTTCCGTTCCATAGGAACGGGAACGCGTTTGAAAATTGGTTTCCAAGCACTATCCTGTGTTCGAAGATGCTCAGATATGCCTATACTTTTCATTTGCGTTAAGTCACGTTGAGTTCTCTGGTTCCAAGGAACGGGAGCACGTTTGAAAATTGGTTTCCCAGCGTTATCCTGTATTTGGAGATGCTCATATGTGCCTATTTGTTTCATTTGTATCAAGTCAGGATAGGTTCTCGGATTCCCCAAGTACGGGAACTTGCACCGGGTTTCAAGAAAGGGAACTGGGAATTCAGTTCGCACATCTGTTTTTAAGAACCTGAAGTTACATATTCATCTGTTTTTGCGACCCGATCTATGTACGTCGCCAAAACAAATTAACTGGATTTGTGATTTTATCATTTCTCTACGGAAAAATTAGAAAATTTCCGTTTAATAAGGTGATACTGCTGGATTTCTATTTGAATTTTTTGTAGCTTGTCTAAAATGAAGAAGCGTGTAGTACTCGTTTCAATTGTTGAGAATATCAAGTAACTCGATTTTTCACCGATTTAATAGTTTGAAGGATCACGTGTCAGTCTTGCAAATCATTCTTTGTGAATAGACTTTGTCAAAAACAATTATACATGTCTTTTGAAAATCGGAAAGCTTTTTCAATGCGCTGGCATGATTTTTAAAAGACAAAATAACTCGAATGTGTTTTCAACATGATTTCATCGATACGACAAACATCTATCATGACCCGATATGGTAAGCCGTATTCTTTCCAAATTCTTTGCTTCCTTGATGTATTTAATAGGATTCTTTCTTATCTTGAAATTAAGCCAAGTACCTTTCTATCGCCTAAAAGTGATGAAAGGAATTTTCCCGCAGTTGAGAGAAAAGCAATCATTGTTTTTCCTTATAGCTATATAAATCTTCTGCGCATGTTGCATCACACATTGCTGTAATTAACGTTTTAACGCTCACAAGCTCTACAAAGAAGTTAACATTTTTAAAGAGCCACTTTTTTTTTCTAACGTCTTTAATAACCTATGGGGCGAATACTTCTTCGAAATCGTATAAACTTCTTCTTTTCGTTGCACTATTGATTCTACAGACTTTTTATTATTTTTGTTCCCTATACTGAAACGCTATGGCTTGGAAACTGAAATTCACCTGTAGCTGTCTGTCTGTAACCTTGGTACAAGCGACCATTATTATGGTACACAAAGCTCATTTCTGTGGTTCAAAACGCCTATTTCTCTGATCGAAATGGCTATTTCTATGTTACAAAAAACATATCTTTATTGTCCAAATGACCATTTGTGTGGCACAAAAGGACCATTTCTCTGGTAGAAATGACCATTTCTATAGTCCAAATAACCATGTGTGTGATCCAAAAGGACCATTTCGATGGTCGAAACGGCCATTTCTGTGATCCAAAAAGTCGATTTCTATGCCCGAAATGACCATTTCTGTTGTACAAATGATCATTTTCATTGTACGAAGGAACTATATTTAAGGTTGGAGTGACGTTTTTGCAGTAAAAGAGAGCCAAGTAGGATGTACTAAACAGTATTGTTTTGCTAAAGGCGAATGCTTTTTACGAGCAATGTATATATATATATATCAGAAGAAGCATGAAAGCTATTCGTTAAAGTATTAGTTGTATGCATCGAATAATTCCTCTTCTTGATAAATAATCTTCATGATACTCGAAATGAGAAATGCTATCAGAACAATCTAAAACATTATTCCGTACACTGAAAGAATAGGGTCTAGAAACCGAAATTCACTTGTATCCGTCCATCCGTTTGTCCATCTGGAGCAAATGACGCAAACGACCGTCTTTCCGATCAAAAGGACCGTTTGTGTGGCAGAAGCGACCAATTATTATAGTACAAGTGCCGACGTATGTGGCACCAAACGACGGTTTTGGCGGTCAAAATAACCAATTTTTATAGCACAAGTAGTGATTCTTATCGCACAAAGGACCATTTGTGTCTCACATACTGCGATCCTAGCAGCGGTGACATATATGACTGTAGAATAATGATTAGCGACTAGACATTGCGATATATATTGATGAACTAGTATCCAATGATGGGGAGTACGAAATCCGTGTACAGTGTCGATTGCTTGTGTATACTCGATGATTCACTTTATACGACCGTATGTCTATATAGACTGTAGAAAAATAGAATCGATTTAAGATAGATGCGGAGTCAAATAGACATTGCGCGTGGTCTTCTCACCATGAAGTTCGTAGACAGCTACATTTAAGTTTATAGAGGATCGTATTTTTTCTTATAAAGTATGGAGGATGACGATTGTAACACTGAGTCATGTAGTACGGCAATATAGGACGATTTATGGTGGCTTACGGGCGTGCTCGTTTGATCCTCTCTCCTTTTACTTACATGCACCTATAAGGCATATTACAATTCCTTCCGGCTAGGGTCTAGTGTATCGATTCTCGATGCACGTTACTTGTTATTTTTTTGGGTAGAATATCGTAATTGTTTTCGTGAATTCATATTGGTTGATTGTAACTCAAGCGCACAGGCAAATAATAGAATGAAACTAGTTTATGTTACGAAGCGCAGCGTTGAACCATGGTCATAGCTATACTCGTTTGATAATGCAACAGAACCGCAATGGTTTCTCAAAGGTACCGAGTTTTATATTTGATCTTACACAAAATCTGAAAATTATTTTGTACCCTATGTGAGACGATGTTGCTTATTAAGCCCTCCCCCTTAAATGAATTCAGTTTTCAACAAAAACATCGAAACTGAGGTAAGTGCATGGGAATAATAGCCCGAAAAATGCTCTTTCAAAAATGATAAAGCTTTTGAGTTGGTATTTAACTTTTACCAGAACTTTTTAACCGTTTTTGGCATCTCTATTCGAAAAATAAGCTAAATCTGAACATTATTTTCATTCTTCGAACGCGCAACCCAAAATTCTCTACCAAGGGTCATGTTACGTATTTAATTTCTTTTGTTGGAAAGAGCAC